ACAAGCTCTATGTACAGGTCTCACAACCAGTGTAATTTCAAGGTAGTGACAGATATAAACAATATTTTGAAACTTGCAATAACTGAATTGTGTATATGTGATTTCTACTGAATATAAAGTCAAAAGTACTGCTAATACTATGATGGCTTGTTAAAGGAGGGCCAACTGGGTCAAGCCTTTCATAACTGAAAGAAATGCTTAATGAGTTAGAGGTTAATAAACATAAAATATAATTTTTCCACATTTAAGTATATGGATTCCTTGGTGTCTCTGTTTCTAAGGATTCCAGCTTAAGAACCCCTACTCAAGAGGACTGGCTAGATCAGTCAAACAACATCATCAGGTCCTGAAGCCTAAAAAGTCTACTACTTGGTCCTAAGTTTCCAGTATCTTTTGGCTAAAGAAAGCTATATTGCTCTTCTTTACCCTCTTCCATCCTCATTTCTCTAGAAGATTTTCCTGTTTTATCATCACTGTCTGGGCCAAGGAAATATCTGAATAGCTTCATGTTCTCATGTCCTATTTCACACATCTCTATTACCATGTTCAAATGATTCTAACGACCACTGCAACACTGAAAATCCTGTGGCTTTGTCCCATCCCAATCATCCACATCAGTGCAACTTAGTCTCATCTAGAAGCAGTGAGTCTTATAAGCAACTCCTCTCTCCATACCCTATGCCTACTAATAAATCTCAAAAGTAATATTTCTAAACCTGTCAAAGAAAACTGAGGCTCAGAAAAATTAAATAATTTATCCAAGGACCCACAACAATAAAATTCCTAGAGATTTTAAAGGTATTTATTTTTTATTGAGATATAACTGACATATTACTTTCTGGTGCCCAACATTTCATATTTTGTATATATCGCAAAATGATCACCACAATAAGTCTAGTTAACATCTGTCACCATACATAATTACAAATTTTTTTCTTGTGATGAGAACTTTTTTTTTAAGATTTTATTTATTTATTTGAGAGAGAGAGAATGAGAGAGAGCACATGAGATGGGGGAGGGTCAGAGGGAGAAGCAGACTCCCTGCCGAGCAGGGAGCCCGATGCGGGACTGGATCCAGGGACTCCAGGATCATGACCTGAGCCGAAGGCAGTCGCTTAACCAACTGAGCCACCCAGGTGCCCATGTGATGAGAACTTTTAAGATCTACTCTCTTAGCAACTTTCAAATATATGGTATAGTATTATTAACTCTAATCACCATGCTGTATATTACAACCCCATGACCTGTTTGTTTTATAACTGGAAGTTTATACCTTTTGACCTCTTTCACCCATTTTGCCTACCCCTACCCCTAACCTCTGACAACCACCAATTTGTTCTCTGTATCTATGAGCTTGGTTTTAGGATTTTTGTTTTTAGATTCCACATATGAGATCATACTGTATTTGTCTTTCTCTGTCTGACTTATTTCACTTAGCATAATGCCCTCAAAGCCCATCCATGTTGTCACAAATGGTAAGATTTCATTCTTTTTATAGGCTGAAAAATAGTCCATTTTGTGTGTGTGTGTGTGTGTGCATACAAACACACTATATTTTTTGTATCCATTCATCCACCAATGGACACAGATTTTATTTTATTTAATATTTTATTTTTAAGTACTCTCTACACCCAAGGTGGGGCTCGAACTCACAACTCCAAAATCAAGAGTCACATACTCGGGGCGCCTAGGTGGCTCAGTCGTTAAAGCATCTGCCTTCAGCTCAGGTCATGATCCCAGGGTCCTGGGATGGAGCCCGCATCCGGCTCCCCGCTCAGCGGGAAGACTGCTTCCCCTCTCACAGTCCCTTTGCTTGTGTTCCCTCTCTCGCTATCTCTCTTGCTGTCAAATAAATAAATAAAAATCTTAAAAAAAAAAAAAAAGAGTCACATGCTGTACTGACTGAGCCAACCAGGCACCCCAGATTTTAAAGATATTTTATGCCAATCACCCGTATGATATGTATTAGCATTAGAAGTATCTAATAAAGCAAATATATGGCCTTAGTTTTTAGATAGTTTCATTCCTCTCTGCTCTGCTTTATAGTGGGCATATTTAGAAATTATATGACTAAAAAAATTAGTATATAATACAAGTAAAATCATCTAAACAAATAACTGAAACAATAAGAGTGAATAGTAATATGAAACTGGAGTTGAACCAATTATAACAGCCTATTGCAAGAAAATTATCATTCTTCCCTGAAATAATTTCCTATCTCTTTAATGTGAACACATATAACAAAACATCTTGATCAAACAAGAGAGAATAGTGTAGTCTAAGAACTCTGATGACAGGGGCGCCTGGGTGGCTCAGTCGTTGGGCGTCTGCCTTCTGCTCAGGTCATGATCCCAGGGTCCTGGGATCGAGCCCCGCATCGGGCTCCCTGCTGAGCGGGGAGCCTGCTTCTCCCTCTCCCTCTGCTGTTCCCCCTGCTTGTGCTCTCTCTCTGTCTCTCACTCTCTGTCAAATAAATAAAATCTTTAAAAAAAAAAAAAAAGAACTCTGATGACAAATGCAAATACATGTGAAAGAATATAGAAGAATGGGGGCGCCTGGGTGGCTCAGTCGTTAAGTGTCTGCCTTCGGCTCAGGTCATGATCTCAGGGTCCTGGGATCGAGCCCTACATCGGGCTCCCTGCTCTGCGGGGAGCCTGCTTCTTCCTCTCCTGCTCCCCCTGCTTGTGTTCCCTCTCTTGCTGTGGCTCTCTCTGTCAAATAAATAAAATCTTTAAAAAAAAAAAAAGAATATAGAAGAATGATTATCACAATACAATTACTCCCAAGTAAAATGCATATTTGGTTTGAAAAAATAAGTTTTGGAGATTATAAACAATTAACATACATTTAACAAATATCACTTTACATTCAGTATGTAATATTACAATGTCAATAAAAGCAATTACTGCAATTACCCTTTAAATTATCTCAACTGCCACTAAAAGTACAAATAAAACGGTCATATATTCATTGCTTGCTGTTTTAATCAGAAGCTCCTGTTCCTTAGACAATCTGAAAAAAAGTCATTTTTTTATTCAACACACAGCCACTGAGGACCTACTATGTGCCAGGAAGAACCATGAGAGATACAGGGACAAAGCATGGTTGTAGCTTTCGTCTCTCAGGAAGCTTATGGACTAATGAAGAGCAGGTAAGCATGAAATAAATGTTTTGGCTCTGAAATAACTGTAAGAGCACCATGTTGTAGGAGAGCAAAGAAAGGAGTCATTCGTTTCACCTAGGGGGGCTTTAAAAGGTTTCCTGACAGGACAGCATCAGAATTCAGCAAAAAAAGGAAGGTAAAAACACTGTTTATGCTTAAATGTCAATAAATTACAGCCACTACTATAGAGCACAGGCACTTTACAAATTTTATTTCCCTTAATCATCACAACAACCCTTTGGGACCAGCATTTCACAGTGAGAAAACAATGATGTACAGGATAAATAACTTGCCCAAGGTCACATTATCTTGTAAATGGAAGAGTCATGAATGAGTCCAGATTTGTGTGACCTGATATTCTTCCCACCACACCAGGCTGCCTAAGCTGAACTTAAAGAGTAAGTAAAATTTGGGCGCCTGGGTGGCTCAGTTGGTTAAGCGACTGCCTTCGGCTCAGGTCATGATCCTGGAGTCCCTGGATCCAGTCCCGCATCGGGCTCCCTGCTCGGCAGGGAGTCTGCTTCTCCCTCTGACCCTCCCCCCTCTCATGTGCTCTCTCTCATTCTCTCTCAAATAAATAAATAAAATCTTTAAAAAAAAAAAAAGTAAGTAAAATTTAAACAGAGGAAAAAGAGAAAACAGAAAAAACACAACCGACAGAAGTGATATAAACATATAACTCATGAATTATCTTAGAGGAAAAGAGAGCTACTACCCTTGGAATATATACACATAGCAGGAAACATATATATTTATACATATACATATAAAAGATATAATGATATAACAAAACAAAGAGAAAGTAGGATAATTTATGAATTACACTATGACTAAAAATTCCATACTCAGGGGCGCCTGGGTGGCTCAGTAGAATGAGTGACCGACTCTTGATTTCAGTTCAGGTCATAATCTCAGTGTTCTGGGATCGAGCCCCTCATTAGGTTCCTGGCTCATCAGGAAGTCTGCGTGGGGATTCTGTCTCTCTCCCTCTGCCTCTCCCCCTACTCACACACGTGCGCTCATTCTCTTTGTCTCTCTAAAATAAATAAATAAATCTTTTTTTAAAATTCTATACTCAGGGCGCCTGGGTGGCTCAGTTGGTTAAGCGACTGCCTTCAGCTCAGGTCATGATCCTGGAGTCCCGGGATCGAGTCCCGCATCGGGCTCCCTGCTCGGCAGGGAGCCTGCTTCTGCCTCTGACCCTCTCCCCTCTCATGTGCTCGCTCTCATTCTCTCTCTCTCAAATTAATAAATAAAATCTTAAAAAAAAAAAATTCTATACTCAGATCTACTTAAGATTGTTCCATGATCGAGCCATAAAGAACCTAAATTAAAATTTCAAAAATGTCTAATTTACAAATCCTTTAGTCACTAAAGGCATTCATCAGTTACTTTTTTATCAAGTTTAACCAGTTAATTAAAATAAATTTAAGACAACATACAAATACCATAATTCATTAAACTTCTACTTAACACTCCTATACAGTTCCACTATATTAAAAAAAAAAAAAACTATTTTCTTTATTATAATTTCCTTTTTTTTAAGATTTTATTTATTTATTTATTTATTTATTTTGACAAAGAGAGGGAACACAAGCAGGGGGAGTGGGAGAGGGAGAAGCAGGGAGCCCGATGTGGGACTAGAACCTAGGACCCTGGGATCATGACCTGAGCCTAAGGCAGACACTTAATGACTGAGCCACCCAGGCACTCCCTATAATTTCCTTTTCAAGTTCAAGAATATCATGGTGATGTTAAACATGGAGTCTGAAATATGAAATGAATCTAAAATAACCAAATTCTACTTTTAACATTATTTGAGAGAAAAAAATTCTACCTCTGCATTGTGCTTAGTTGTTATTTCTAATTTTTCTTTCTTAGCCCGATGGAGTTTCTTTCTGAGATCAGCAGTAATGTCCAAGTCTGTTTCACTTTTAAACATTTGTTTTTCATCAGATGAGGCATTCTTCAACCTATAAAATGAGATAATAAAATAAAATTCTCACTAAGTCTATTTCTGGTATTTCTTTTTTTTTTTTTTAAGATTTTATTTATTTATTTGAGAGAGAGAATGAGAGACAGAGAGCATGAGAGGGGGGAGGGTCAGAGGGAGAAGCAGACTCCCTGCCGAGCAGGGAGCCCGATGCGGGACTCGATCCCGGGACTCCAGGATCATGACCTGAGCCGAAGGCAGTCGCTTAACCAACTGAGCCACCCAGGCGCCCTATTTCTGGTATTTCTAATAACTTATTTTTCAGAAATCACAAGGAACATGATATGGTCTTTGCCCTAAAGAAACTTAAAATCTAGTAAAAGATGTCGATTGCAAAAGCTAGGTAGAAATACAAAGTAGTGTATGACTAGAAACGAACTACCTTTCAAGATGGTACTTAAAGAATGATCCTATCACAAGCTGTGTAGTTCTGTTTTGTTTTTAAGATTTTATTTACTTATTTGAGAGAGAGACAGAGATAGTGAGAGAGAGCACAAACGAGGAAGAGAGGGAGAAGCAGGCTTCCCACTGAGCAGGGAGCCGGACTCCAGTCTCGATCCCAGGAGCCTGGGATCATGACCTGAGCCTGACCTGAGCCAAAGGCAGATGCTTAGCCGACTGAGCCACAGACTGCATAGTTTTGGAAAATATTGAGTTCTTTTTACCTTTTAAGTACTATGTTTTATTTATTGCAAATGTAATAAATACATATTACAAAAGTAAAAAGCATGAGTGACAGAATATAGATTATTAAAAAGAGCAGACTAGGGGCGCCTGGGTGGCGCAGTAGGTTGAACTTCCGACTCTTGGTTTCGGCTCAGGTGTGATCTCGGCATCATGAGATTGAGCTCCACGAGGGGCTCCATGCTGGGCGCAGAGTCTGCTTGGGATACACTCTCCCTCTGCCCCACCCCCTGCTCTCACTCTCCCTCTCTCTCTAAAACAAATAAATCTTAAAAAAAAAAAAAAAAAAAAAAAAGCAGACTAAAGCACTCTCCCCAAAATTAAAAATTTAATGAAAGTATCATCAGCAAAGAGACTTTAGAGATAAAAATCCACAAGGAGAAAGAGCACAGAGATGAGCAATAGCAATAAAATATTAGAAGTTGGAAACCAGGTGGATAAGTGGTAATTGATTTACATAAGAGAACTGAATTTAACGGGAAAAATGGGGAAAGCAACCTGATTTACACCCAAAAGCTCAATTAATTGACAACAGCTTTGAAAACACGGTAAAAGTAGAGCAGAAAACAAGCTAATTGATTGAAAGTCTGCCAAAGAAATGAGATTCTCAGATCCTCTACCCTATACACCACACAACTGGGCACCAATCTCTCTCTCACTCTGGCAGAACACTAGGTAAGGGTTTATTCCCTGGAGAGGATAAAACAGAAGATCTGTGGATTAGAGACATCAGATACAAATGGTATAAGACCCCATACCAAAAATAGGAGACTCAAGTTAAAAATTATGTAATAAGTGAGAGCCCTGGTCTTCTACAACATCTTGTGTGCCAGAACAATGGCAGCCGAGCAGAGAATGGAAGGTGAAAAACCAACAAGGTGAAAAAGACCTAAAGATGCTGATGCTAGGGGTTCTCCAACAAACACCTTAACCACACCACCCTATAGAGAATGCCATAAAAACAAAGCCTTACACACTGAGCTTCCAATCAGCTAAATGAGAACAGTCAGCTAAGGATCACCAGAAGTTAGGAAGCAAGAGTTAGAAAGACAGAGACCAAATCAGGGGACAGAGAGGAAGAACCCTCAAAGATTATGCAGGTAAAAGGGAACTTTAAAAAGAGGGGGGAAAAATACCTTCAGAAATATAAGAGAAGAAATAACATCCATGAAACAAAAACTGAATGTGATAAAAAATGAAATATTCAGAGAACAAAAAAAGGAACTCTTGGAAATCAAAACACAAACTAAGGAATGAAAAGCTAATTAAGTAAATGTAAAAAAAAAAATCTCCTGGATGCCTGAAAAAATTCCAAGGGAAAATAATTTTCCACTTGGAATTTTATGCCCAACAAGTTACAAGGGAATGAGAAAGACTATTTCAGATCTACAAGGCACCAAAACATTTACCTCCCATGAACTTTCTCAAGAGGACCTAAACTGAGAAAGAGAAAGACATGGGATCCCAAAAGTAGGGTATTCAAAACAGAAAAAAACAGCAATGGGATTTCCAGGATCATGAAGAAAGGAACAGCAGGTGACGATCGCGTCCCTGAGATGAAAGCACAGCACCTAAAGGGCAATCTGTCCCTGCTGGACTACTGGACTGGCCAAAGCCTCCAGGAGTGACTTCTTGAAGAAGATGGAAACAGAAGACAACAGAATGCTTCAGGGGGAAGAGTGAAATTCGTGAAGGGGATTAAGAATACACTTCTTGTGTCTTGACGAGCACTAAGTAATGTATGGAATTGCTGAATCACTATATTGTACATCTGAAACTAATGTAACACTGTATGTTAACTGTACTGGAATTACAATTAATGATAAACCCAGAATACTTCAACTATCTGAACATATTGAGAGATTTATGCCACTTGGTTGGAGTATAAAGCTGAATTCATGATAAATTCATAGAAATTAAGCAAACTTGGGGCGTCTGGGTGGCTCAGTTGGTTAAGCGACTGCCGTCGGCTCAGGTCATGATCCTGGAGTCCCGGGATCGAGTCCTGCATCGGGCTCCCTGCTCAGCGGGGGGTCTGCTTCTCCCTCTGACCCTCTTCCCTCTCGTGCTCTCTGTCTCTCATTCTCTCTCTCAAATAAATAAATAAAATCTTAAAAAAAAAAAAAGAAGAAATTAAGCAAACTAAACAATCAATGAAACAATTATCAAATCCAAAGAAAACAATATAAAAGACAGAAAAAAACCACATGGCTGAACTGGAAATTTTCAAAATTACAATAATGTAAGCATGGAAAACTAAATATAGAGAGGACAGAAAAAGGAGGGAAGCATGAATGAAAACTAAATTATGATCTTTTGTAGTGTGGGCAGTCAGTAGATAACAGCTAAACCTGAAAACTCAAATAGCAATATAAAAAAAAAAAATTTAAAGGCGTCTGGGTGGCTCAGTTGGTTGGGCGACTGCCTTCGGCTCAGGTCATGATCCTGGAGTCCCTGGATCGAGTCCCGCATCGGGGTCCCTGCTCGGCAGGGAGTCTGCTTTGCCCTCTGACCCTATCCCTCTCATTCTCTCTCTCTCAAATAAATAAATAAAATCTTTAAAAAAAAAAAATTTAAGAGTTTAGATTTTAAAATCCTTTCAGAGTATGGTGACAGTGCGGGCTTTGGCAGCACATATACTGAAATTGGAACGAAACAGAGATGAGCTTGGCCCCGTCACAGAGTTTGGTGCCAGACAGCAGCCACACTTTTCGTGAGCACAGCACAACACAGACTTGTTGAATCACTATCTTGTACTGAAATTAATGTCTCATTGTGTGTCAACTACACTTCAATACAAAAAATACAAGATTTTAAATAAATTAAATCAAATTAAAAATTTTTTTAAATAAAAATCATCTCAGAGTTGAAAATGATTGTTCCTAGAGATCAAGAGGGTGATTTGTCACAAGCAAATTGGTACTGCTATTTTTCCTAATAGCAGTGAGTAAGCCTTGGAGAACATGAGATTCTTTAAATAATGTACATATGTAACTTTAATTTTTTTTAATAGGACTAAAATAAAACAACACGGAGAATCAATGAAACCAAAATTTGCTTCTTTAAAAGGATCAACAAACTTGCTAAACCTTTGGCTAGACTGACCAAAAAAAAAGAAGACTCAAATTATAAAAATAAAGAATGAGAGAGGGAATGATACTACCAACCTAGAGGGACTATAATAAACACTATGAACAACTTTATGCCAACAAGTTAGACAATGTAGATCAAATGGACAAATTCCTAGAAAAACTGACATTATCAAAACTAACCCCAGGGGAACCTGGGTGGCTCAGTTGTTAAGCATCTGCCTTCAGCTCAGGTCATGATCCCAGGGTCCTGGGATCAAGCCCCGCATCAGGCTCCCGGCTCCGCGGGAAGCCTGCTTCTCCTGCTCCCACTCCCCCTGCCTGTGTTCCCTCTCTCACTCTCTCTCTCTCTCCATCAAATAAATAAAATCCTAAAAAAAAAAAAAAAAAGCTAGCCCCAAAAGAAACAAATCTGAATAGACCCATAACAGTTAAAAATATTGAATTAATAATTTTAAAAATCTAAACACAAAGAAAGCTCAAGTCCAGATGGCTTCCCTAGTAAATTCTACCAAATATTTTAAAAAGAAATAATATCAATCCTCACTTTAGAGAAGGTGGAAACACTTCCCAGCTCATTCTATGATTACCTAAAATCAAAGTGAATCAGATATCACAAGAAAGGAAAACTATAGATCAATATCCCTCATGAACAGAAATGCAAAAAATTCCTCAACAAAATATTAGCAAACCAAATCCAGCAACATCTTAAAAGGATTACACAACATGACCAAGTGGGATTTATCCCAAAAATAAAAAATTAACTTAATGTCCAAAAATCAATTGATGTAATATACCATTTTACTAAAATAAAAAGTACATAATCATTTCAATAGATACAGAAAAAGCATTTGACAAAATTCAACACCTATTCACGATAAAAAAAAAAAAACAAAAAAAAAACCAATGCAACGAACAAGGAATACAAGGAAATTTACTCAATCTGGTAAAAAGCATCTATGAAAAACCTACAGCTGGCATAATTATTGGTGAAAGACTGAAAGCTTCCCCTAAGACTGGGAACAAAACAAACATGTCCACTTCTATTTGAGACTGTACTGGAGGAGAAAGAAAGGAAAGAAAGAAAGGGCATATATATTAGAAGGAAAGAAATAAAACTATCCTTTTTTTTTTTTAAGTAAGCTCTCTGCCCAACGTGGGGCTTAAACTCACGACCCCATGTTCTACCAACTGAGTCAGCCAGGCA